TAGGGGATCCATTCAAAGACAGTAATCGCCCGAAGAGAACTCGTCGAAAAAGCGCCATTTTCTCGTCCACCATGCTACGTTTATATTTAAATGAAGGGCAAGCATATCGTGCTCGTTAATTGTCGATCGTTCCACGCGTCGTCGGGGCCATGCTGCGGTATCATTATCATATTTACTGAAAAAACCATCGACGGCAACCTGCCCCTTCCCTTCCACAAGATCTGTCGTGAACACGAAACAGGGAGCCAAAGGAAGAGATGCTGGTTAAAAATCAATTGAACGGCAAACAACACGAACGAACACCGATTTTCTCTCTCTTTTTCATTATTCGTTTACGATATCGTGTCAGAACCGGTTCATTTTGTTGTTAATAATTGTGAAGTGCAGTCGAAAGGAGAACGATTTGGAAATTTTCCAAATCTTTCTTGATCGCGTATCCTGATATCGCGATTCTGTAAAATATAAATTATTAATTTTTATCTTTCTTATACGAATACGATAATTGTTCATTTAAATGTAAATTTTTTTGAAATATTATTTTGAAATTCGCGACATATTTTATAGAATTTAGATGTTTTTTGAACGGGATGATTTTTAAACATTTTTGAAGATATTTCTTCGAGCGTTTTTAATAATTAGAATATATCTGAATATTCGAAGATATTTTATAGTTTTCTTGCATCTCGATTATGTAATAAAAATTAAAACGTCTATGATAAAATTTGGGAGAATAATTATCCAAGTACGAGAACATTGACACGATTTCGATAAAGATGTACACCGTTTAAAAATTAATCATCCTCTTTCCTCTATCCGGAGTTAATTAGCAGTTGTATAATATATATTGCCATTTTATGAGATTTCTTTGTTTTGTCGGCGTAAATCGATTCGACAGAACGCACGACGCGTTCTACGTTCCCTGCATACGAATTGGTGGCGTGTAATAAACCGAGCCGTCCGGACTGAATACTAATTAGCCTGGTGTCATGGTAATTATTGCAGTGTCAAATTTCTTTTTTTATTCGGAATTATTTTCTTTTTACGCTTTTACTTATGTAAAAAAAAAAAAAAAAAAAAAAATTCTAAATTAATGTCCAATGTCCTTGCCAATGATATTTTAATCGATGATTCTCCCGAAACTAAATTTTATTTTAGGTAATGAATAGCGTGTAATAAAAATGAAAGATAAAAGAAGAAATAATGTCTTGAGAGAAACTTTTAAAGATGTATATAATATTTTATTATGTAATATTAACTGTGGGGCAGAGAGAAATTGAAAAAATTAGAAATACAAAAGATTAAAATCACAATGATCTTTAAACCAAATGATAATTACTTATTAACTTATATTTTTTCTCAAATAAAGTAGGGAATAAATTTATTTAAAACGTTTGTAATAAATAAAAACGATCGAGAGGAGAAATGGAAATCGAGTGCTACAAAATTTTTACTTTCTCTCTCTCTCTCTCTCTCTCTCTCCCTCTTCTTTTTTTCCCCTCCGTAAAGTATATCACTTTGTAAAAACTTTTGTACTTGTGCACCACAGATGTTTCAATTTTCATCATTATCAATGGAAAGAACGACGTGACAGAACAGCTGGTCCGAGTTACGAAGCAGAAATCGTTATTTCGGCATTATTACCACGATTCGTCAGAAATTATCGCCACTGATAACCACTAACAAGCTACTCCATCGATTACCATGCGCTTTGACTGATGCTAAACGTGTAACATCTTTTTTCTGGCCCACGGTTTACGACCACGTTGCTCCTCGAGAGAAGTGTCCATAAAATGGCTGTACGGATAAGAAAACCGCCTTAAAACGTGGATATCCTTGAAAATGCATAGGGAAATATGCCGTATATTTCTTCACGGATATCTGACACAACTGGTAGATGTAATTAGCTTGAAACGTCTCTCAACGTGATTTATGCCGATAATGTTAGGTTGATGGAAATGAAATGTTATTTCATGAAATAGAAAAAATTATATTTAAAGAATTATTGAAAAATTATGCGTGCTTTTTCCTAAAACATTATTCGATATTGACCAAAACTTTGAAATTAATTAACACGTTCTATCTAAGAATTAGAAGAAAAAGAAGAAGAAGAAGAAGAAAAAGGATTAATCGTTAGGAATGAAATTTTCTTTCGCGCAAAGTGTTGGAAAAAATTAAAATTACAAGATTGATTCTGTGCATATGTTTCAAATGATTAGATTATTACGAGAATTATCAATTTTAGAATATGCAATCCTTAACATTTTCTTTCGTATATATTTGTTCAAAAATAATGTGTACGATGAATAATTATGATATTTCGGAATGATAAATTTATTATTCCACCATGTTTCCTCCTTCTTTATCAGAAAAGATATTTTTCTTCAAAGTTGTTAAAAGAGATCTTATGTACATTCTGTTTATTTTCATTCTCCCTATTTTCTTTATTTATTTCCCTTTCTTCAATTTTATTAATGTTGCGTTACAAAGCATTTTATCGATGATTGGACGGAATATGAATAAGTGTATTTAATTTTAGACAATGATTTATCTCATTTTATGCGACGTTGAATAAAATTCCAATAATATTTATAACGTTGACCAATTAATAAATGTTTATTATTTCCGGTGATGACATTTGATTGATAATAAATTTATAACTGCATAATGCGATGCGTTATCAAACGTCGGTCGGAACGATTTTTTTTTTTTTTTACACAGCATGATTACTCTATGCATGATTCAATTTCAAAGAATATTTCCATATTTCTTTTTCTTTTTTATTTTATTTTTCGGTATCGACGTTTAAAATAACAATTTTAATACTATTCCATCAGAAATATTCCCAATATTTATTTACAATTTGTACAAACAAATTCTATTCACAAAATTACTTTAAAATATTTATCATTCCCCTCTTCTAATTCATCTTTATCTCGGCATATTGGTAAGCTCAGTAGCCGTATAATTAATTTTTCCTTCTCACAGAAAAGAGTATAGATAAATCACTAAATTTTATTTTATAATTACAATCACCCTCCCTTATTTCCACGCTGAACGTATAACGAAAGCGATGGAAGAAATTATTTCCCAATTGATCGGATAACAGACATCCCATTCCAGAGAAACTCGGCCCCATAAAACTCTTTCATCGAACTCCTTATAGGCAAGGAGGTACGTCCCCGTTGAAAAATGGCCAGCTGCGCGTGCGGCAATCCGATCTTTCCACCGATTCGATCTCCTCCCGTCCGTCGAGGGGGGTGGAAGGAAGAAGGGGCGGCGAAGAAATCGTGAGGGCACGTGACACGCGGATGGCGTTACAGGGGTTGGCGGGGGTGTATTGATCTGTGGCTCGCGTGAGAACAGCGCTACATACCGGCCAACAGCCGCAACTAATGTCTTCATCCTTTTCAACCACCTTTTCAAACCCCTTACGCCTCTCTTTCCGTGCCTTTTCTTTTGCCTGGCCAACGAGTAGCGGTTGAAATTCACGCCGGCTTTAAATCGTGCTTTGCGCCGCGAGCGTTCACGCGAGCAAAGGGTTGAAACTCGCCATGAATCAAGACACCCCGGGGGGTCGTTGCTTCCTCGGCTAGGGTTGCCCTCCTTCGTGTAATTCCGATATTTAACCGTTGTGACCGGACCCACTGTTGGACGTGCTTTTAATTATTCGGGATAAAGATGATAAATTCTCGGGAATTTTCTTTTGATTTTCGGAGCAGGAGGAGGGGGTGAGAGGGATGTGTACAAAAATTTTGAAAAATTGTAAGGAATTTAGACGAAATAATTTGGAAAATTTGGGAAATTTTCATTTCTTTGAGAAAATTCGCGTTTCGAAAGGAATTTTTTTAATTCTCGGAAAATTGAATTTTCAAAGAATTGGTCAAGATTTGGAATAACTTGGATTTCTTTTCGAAAATTAAATTTCACGAAATCTATATTTTCTTTCCAAATAAATGGGTAAAGATTCAAGAAATATTGTTTAATTGGTCTAAGAAAAGCAAAAGTTTTCCAAAATTTTTTATTTCTCGGAGAATATTCATTTCTAAATATAAATATTTAGGATCATTTTTCAAACATTTCATTTTCGTTTTAGAAATATTTTTCGTCAAGAGTGCTTTCTCTTCAGGACAGATAATAATCAGATTCTATTCGTCTGTTTTCAGGTATGGTTCCAGAACAGAAGGGCAAAGTGGAGGAAGAAGGAGCATACGAAGAAGGGTCCAGGAAGGCCGGCGCACAACGCTCATCCTCAGAGCTGTAGTGGCGAACCAATTCCACCTGAAGAGTTGAGAAGGAAAGAGAGGGAAAGGCGGCAGAAGAAATTGCTGAAAGCTCTTGAACGACAGCAGAGGAAATTAGCTGCAAAGGTAATCACTAATGCAATCTACTTTCTCAAATACATTTAAGAATACTTTAATACTTCGATAGCGTGTTAAAAAAATAATTATTAAAAAAAATAATTTCATCGTTAATATCTAAATATAATTTCTTTCCTTTTTATTTGTCGACTGTCGTTTCGATCTTCAAAGAATTTTCAGAAAAGGAAAAAAGAAAAAAAAAGAAACAATAACATAAATCATTTCCTTACCTCGATTCTACACTTTCTCCCAATTAAAATAATCTCATAGCTATAGTTATCTGTCAAATATTTAATTTCACACTTTCGAATATTTTAAAAAAAAAAACGAATAATCAAATCAACCTCGTATCAATCGCACAAAGCAAACCATTCTCTCTAAGTAAAATCTCTAATCTAATCATCGAATGTCCGTGCCAATTTCCAAATAAATATCTTCATATCGAACGATTCAAAATTGGAAGAAGAGAAGAACGCAATATTCTCGTTCCAGGGAATCACCGTCGACCTCTCGACCCTTCGAGCCGAATGGGAGTCCCGAAGCGCGGCAGCATCCGGCGGAAACTCCCTGAACGGAAGCCTGGGAAGCTCTTTCAACCATTTGAGCAACAACAACGAGAGCAGCAGCGTGTCGGGCTCTGGTAACGACGCGAACGAGGAGATAGACGTGGTCGGTGGTTTAGATTCGTGCAGCGAGAGTGGCAGCGAGAGGGTGGACTCCACCGCCGATGGATCCATCGATGGAGAGTGTTACTCGAGACTAGGGAACGGTGGCAACGATCAGAACGATCCTCGAAGATCGGTGAACCAGGTTGCGGGAAGTCTTCAAAGTCCAAACTCGAGCCTGAACCTGGACCACTTGAATCATCAGCAAGGGATCCATCACTGGGGCCTGAGCTCCCTTCTCGAAAGAAGGAGAGAGTTGGTGAACATCAACAGTGCGGGTGGACCTCGTCAAACAACGAACAACCCTGGAAGAACGTCGGTCAGGCAACAGACCAGCGAGGAAGAGGTGCAGAGCAGTAGCATAGACCTGTCTGTGAAAGGGAGGGAGGAGAGGAAGAGGCTCAACCCTTTCTCCATCGATAGTCTATTGGGTAATAACAGAACCAGCACCCCTGGTGTTGTACACAACGAATACAGAGCGTCGACGCCCACTCTGTCGAACGGCAGGGAGTCCATCAGCCCGACGTCACCGATCTCGGTTCCAACTTCGCCATCCACCACGTAGTGAGCCAAGAATCCGTGTTTCTTCTGTTCGTACGTGGTGGCGAATGATTCGAGTTTCGATGTTGGAACACAACGAAGAGACGGGCCAGTTTCGCGAGGACGTTATTAAGGAACATTATCGAGAACAACGAGACGGAAGATAGAGTTTGTCACAGTTTTAGGATAGCAATTGTATTATCTGTTCTAAAAAATTGGAACGAGAGTTCCTGATGGATCAGAGCGTGATCAACGTGGAGCGTGGATTCGTTTCGTTTCGTTTCGGGGAAACGATTGTTGACGATTTTGTTGACGCCGATCGATGAAGTTTGGAGAAGTTTGAAAGTTGAGAGACGACGAGTTTTTTGTGGAGAAATGGTGATTCGATCGACTAGACTAGTTTGAGTTTCCTCTATCGAAACGTGAGGAAAAAGAAAAGCTTATATCAGTTTCGACATATCTGCATCGAGTGCGTGAGTGACGTTGAGACTGCGTGTCATTGCGTGGTTCTGACTTTCTTCTTTTGTCCTGCGTGTTCGAGTGTGGAGATCGAGACGAGAATGTGCAATAAAACACACGGATGAATCGTTCTTTTCTTCCCTCTCTTCTTCAAATGTTACGTCTACGGGGAGAGAGAAAGAGAGAGAGAGAGAGAGAGAGAGAGAGAGAAGAGAGAGAGAGAGAGAGTAC